ATTTTTATTTTTATAATATTTATAACTTCTAGCAATGTAATTATATTATCCCTAGCAATGTAATTCTATTATTACTGTCATCTCAATAAGGATTCATTGTGTCTTTCTATCGAGGATATGAATTTCAAATCATGAATAAGAGCACATTGATTTTCGCTGCTGTAACGATGTAATCCGCGAGTAGCGCATATATATGTCCGCGTAACCAACAGTTTTGGTCAATCGTTCTAATTAGCGAGATTAAAATGATTTTCATCGCGGACGAAACGGTCTGATATAACATTTGTTATTATCTTGATTTGGCAATTGATCGACGTTGACAGTACGAACGAGCGAGTTTTGATGCAAAAGCCGATCAACCGTGCAATCACACGCTCATTCAATACGCTTCAGGAAATTGGTTTCGTTACCGGTTTTTTTTTTTTATTTTTTTTTTTATTTTGATTAAGAAAGCAAAACTGAGGTTTATCAAAAACGCGTTATTAAAACTTTTTTTCATTGATGACTAAATCCACAGCCATAATTGTACGCGAAAACAAAGCAGCAGATTCGTTTGTAATTTGCATCGGCTGATTTGCAGGATAATATTCGCGCGCCATTTGTAATAAAGTTTGATATAGATTCGTGTATATAGAAATATTATGCATAGATAAATTTTTAAGACTAAGGTATTAAATTTAAATCTTTCTTTTGGAAAGATAAAAAGATCTATATTTTAAAGAATCTTCAATAATTAACGGAATAAAACAAATTTTGCGTTCTTATTGCAAAAATCGGGAATTAATTACTTCTATCGAAAGATGAAACTTCAAAATCATTTTATTTCTTAAAGACAATTTGATTTCAATACGGAAGTGTCTCATTATACGAGACATTTCGCAAATCCGTCGAATTTAATAAAAATGGAAGATTGTTTTTTGCCAGTCTCATTATTCGCCCATTATGATAGAATGGCACTTTTGTCAGAGATACTTGTTGTTTAATGCAATTTTGCCAATAAAAAGTTCCTTCACCATTCTTCGATAATCGTTTTGTATTCAAGAGACATCTCCGAGTCCCCTTTGCAAAAACTTCAATACTTGGACAGGCTTCATTAAGAAGTTTCTGCATCTCTCCCAGCTTTGCTATTCTCTTCGATAATGGGAGTTTGCTGGGACGGATCGAATGCGTGGCGCGAATTGCAGCATCGACGAGAATCGACAGAAAAATGGCATCTCCTATGAAACCTACATTCTTCATACGTTTGGCATATGAAGAAGCATCTAGTTCAACGATAATCGATTGTCACAATCCGACATGACAATTTTATTTATCCTTACACAAGATATTGGCTTTTACGTTTCTGTCTATAGGAAATTGAAGAAAATATAACATATAAAATATTTTTTGAACGTTTTACTTTAAAGTTTATAATTGGTGAGATAATGTAAAAAATTAACAAAAATTGGCAAGAAAGGAAAGTTAATCTTTTAAATATGGATTGAAGGAAAATCTAATCAGAATTGCTCGCACGAACTAACGCAGTAAATAGATAAATAAGTATACCCTGTTTAGAGCAAAAAATTCTTCAATCAATTGCTACTTGCATATTTTTCTTTTATACGTATATTTGAATATTTAAATAAAATATTATATGTAAATACGTATATGTGTGTGAATCGTAATTACGTGCGATTCAGAGATTAAACGTATTCACATACAATAGCATCATATTTAATATAAAGCAGAGAATTTTTAGAGCATAATAATATCTTTCACACAGAAGCCAATGTAACCTTATAACAGAACATATTGTGTAACCATCTTGGATCAGTCTAATCAGTTCTCCTCAGCTGTTTGATCGCTCAGATACATCGGATGTATAGCCATCGATCGATCTGTTTAATATTCAAGAGGATAACCAGCGATTTGTATTCCGATTGACATTATCCCTAGTCTTACAATATTCATGTCTAGCCTGCATGGCTATTATTCTGTCGTAAATATAAAGTGTTACGTCAAAAATTTAGTTTATCGCATTTCTAAATAAAAATTAAAGAAAATGTATTGCACTGTATTACCTCTATAAATCGTCAAACTGTGTTTATCGCCATTTTATTATTTAATTCTATTTCAACATTAATATATATATATAGAAATTGTCGCGATAGATTACCAATTTCCTAGTCACAGAGAGAAAGAGAGAGATTTATTATACATTATTTATTTTAATACGTAGTTATTCCTATTATAAAATTACAAGTACTTAAACAACATAAAAATATTAATTTGTAAAAATAATAATTTGTGATCAAGCTCTTTTATAAATTAATATAACAGTGTTTAAAACGCGAATAATTTTACAGCAAAATTCGTTAAATTATATAAGTTTCAAAAACAATGATTTATATCTCTCTTCGTTTATCGTGTTTTTGTCTATTACGATAGATTTGTGTTTTTTTTCCCCTCAAAGATCGATTTGCATATTATTGCGTGTATTTTCTACTCCACCGATTTATGACGCAATCGAAAACGGACATAGTTCAATATACCCGCAGAGCAAACCATCGGACGGGATGCGATGTCGTACGATGGAATATTGCATAAGCAATTTCGCGTCGCTATTCAATATCGTACCATTCGAAGATTCATTCGTCCGAAGTTTAACTTGTACTTAGCTTTTAAATAAGAGCGAACCGAGTCGGAGCATAGGTGAACTATCGAATGCTTCGAGATTCAATATATGAACGTCTCTTGGGAGGTATTAATACCATCTTGGCTCTTGCCAAACTTTCGGTGCGTCATTTCCGACTTTGCGTAGACTATTCGTGTTGGAGTTAGCGAACTTCTTCCCGCTATTCCTCCTGTTTTACGGTCAGAAAACTGCGCCCATTCAGGTCGTGAAATATTATTATATCGATGCAAAAATGCCTTTGCGTCGCAAAATTCATGGAAAAAAAACTTTTTATTTGCTTCTATCTACGCGTTGTATTTCCCTAGTGACAGGCCGCCGATCGGCGAAGAGATATAAAGGGTAAGGATGTTTGTACATTGCAATCGAATGGTTTGATATACCAGAGACCGTGATTGCTAAAAATATCAAACATGTCACTTTTCTATACATCTCGTCAAAGAAAAACATATCGTATAATAAAAATATTACTTTTCGCATATATAATAAATATTATTTATTTGGAAAAGTAAGGAGCAAATACATTGCTTTTGTGTCATTGAATTATGTAAAAATCATAATTCATTTGTGATAATAATTAAATATACTCGTTAATGTATAACAAACTTTCAAATTTTATTTAGATTTCTTGACTTTTAATAATCCTATTATAAATTTTATTTTCGGAAGTGATATATATTTGGACAGGCTAAAAATAGAAGTTATTTAAGAAATTTTTTGAGAGAAAATTAATATAATAAAAATATATAAACCAAATTATAATTTTTTATTCCAAAATATATCTCGTTACCTATATATAATATGTGCTTTTAAAAATTTTTTAACTCGATTCGTATATACTTAAGGTAATAGCAGCTATCGGGGCACAATTTTTATTTTAATTTAAAAAAAAATCGTCGAACGACTCTTACACATTTTCAGTCCGTCTAAATCCGTTTTATATGTGTGCGCGCGTGTATTCTTTCTTAATATATATTGCAAAAATATTGTTACAATTTCTAACTCAATTAATATCATGCCCAAGTATAAACCAAATAGAATATTAATTCACAAAAGTATTAATTACTCTTATTATAATAAACGTGCTTCACTCAACTCTATAACCAGATTCATGTAAACGAATGAAAATACCGATAGCAATTTTCTCTCTCCGTGCATCTGCAGTTTCATTTCAAGATACCTCGCGGCACGTATGAGACTCTTCGCGTCTCGGTCGTTACGTAAATCGATCTATCCACGGACGAGTACGCTTTTCCGCCATATCAGCGAAAAATGCGCAAAAAGACGAGTAATACGAGACAGTGGGACGGGATTCTCAGCAATTGCATTGTCGCGCGTAAATTTCTCCATAGCAAAAAAAAAAGCACGACTTTGGCATTTCGAATCTTTCTCTGTGCTTTTGGCTTGGCTTTTCCGGCGACAATATCGGAGATGGAAATCGAACGTTCGTTCGAAAAGTTTTCCTTCCTCTCGCGTATCTTATAAAGCGCGGGATTTCTTCCTTTATTATGCCTGCTGAATGTACGTATGTGCATTATATCAGCCAGTTGTCGCGCCCACAGAATTCTATAGAACTACCGCACCAAAGTGCTGCGAAATCAAAGTACTTCGCAGATAGATAGAGAAAAATCGAATTTTTCTTGTGCAAGCGAGACATCCCGAAAGGTTCAAAGGACGAAAGTCCCGTGATTCTATTTGGCGCCGTAACTCATAACGAAACTTTATACGGTGCCAAGCTGGATGGAAACGTCTATACCACGGAAAAGTAGCAACAAAAAGATTGACATGTTGAAACAACGCGTAATATAGAAGAAATATATATATATATATTAGAGTACAATAAAAGATATTTTTATGTTATAAAGATATACACGAAAAACTAATTTGATATACCAAACCTTTTTAATATTAAAAATTACTTTTTTTATATCTTACCTTTGTGATTAATATTCGTTATTTTAATATATTTTTATTTATATATTGTAATACATTGAAAATAAATATGATGCAGAGTTATTTATAAGAAATGTAACTTTTGTAAAATTGCTGCATAAAAAGAAAGTGATTTTTTTAATCTGAACGCTGTTTTGAACGCGATTATTTAAAAAATGAGACGATATTTAACGAAGAATTATTAAGGCGGGGTGTGAATTTTTAAAAATATATTATCGTTATCTAGAATAGATCGAGTTATTCTTTCTATCTCCCATCGCCCCTCTCTTTCTCTCTTTGGCAATAACGCCACTGTACAGTAATAAACGTTTGCTAATTAACGTTTGCTCTATCTGATGTAGCTAGTATTTTTATATAACGGAACATATTAGCATACCTGTCGGGTTTTCTCTCACAGAGCCACATCGTCGAAGTCCTTGGAGGAGCTCGAAGGCTGATCCTGCTCTTTCGAGATGTTCGTCGTCGGCTCCAGAATAATCATCTCGCATCCCTCGGGATTCTGCGTTCGCGTCGTGTTGCTCGGCAGCAATGTCTCTTGCATGGTGTTATTACCGTTACATAAGTCGGCTCTGAACCCCACTCTGCTCCTTGGAATGTCACCATTAGAGTTTCTCGAGAAACACGGCAGGACCTACGGAAATATTAGCGGGATTTCGTTTCACGATTTCTCGATAACGTAAAATTTTAGGCATATGGCAACATCAATAACATCACATTGTTGATGCATCTTCCTTGAAACAAGATATAATTTGTCATTACTGACTCACGTCAGGCTAGCTCTACGACTGACTTATGCCATTATTCTAATGATTTTTGATTAAAGTTAAATGTACATACATATCATAGGCACATAGTATTTTCATAACCCACTGAAATAATTGAAAGCTTTTAAAACTTTCCTTAGTTATTCGATTATTAACTTTATTAGCTCAACAAACACAGTTCTTCTCATTTCATCTCTTTGATAAATGTATGTTCAATCGAACAATGTTTAACTTTACATAATCCCATTTATTAGTGATATCCCTCAAGGCGTAAGGTGCGTTTAAATCAATTTTACGTCCGGGTAAAATTAATAATCGATTCTATAATTACCGTTTATGGAGAAGCTTTCCAAGAGCCGTTACGAAACGGTTGTCAAATGACCATTTTCATTATTGCGACACTTGAGGTCGGTAATTGATAGAAGGGCGTAGCCAGATCGTAACGCGGATGTAGATGATGAAAAAAATAATTTAATGCAAATCGAGAAAAATTAATCAAGCATCGCGAGCGCGAGGGAAATGCTCATGATGCACGAGAATCAATTAATGCCAAAACATTTTCCTTTTATAAGCGCAATTATTTTTTTATAATCAAATTTGCTCATATTAAATTTTCTTTTAATTATTAATAGTTTACACAAAGAGAAAGATCTTACAGTTAATCTTTTATAAAAGACTTATAAATAGATCACATATGAAAAATGATTATATTACTATTTTTAAAAATTAAAATAACTTTTATAAATTAAAATCCTATTTTTATATTTCTATTTTCTCATAAAAAATTCATCAATTATTCAAATTATTCAAAAATAAAACATTAAAATTGTGCAATATATAATATAAATACAAAGATACAAACATAAAAAAAATTTTATATGACACAAAATATGTGTGTAGAAGAAAAAAAAAAATATATATATATAATATACACATACACGAATAAAAAACGATGTAAAAAATCCGATATAATGTATTTTCCAATAGTATCAAAGAACGAGAGAATACTGCAAAGTATAAAACATCGCAACGAGGTACAAATCTTCTATTCTACGAGTTTATTATAGTAGCGCGGAACGGAATCTTTAAGGGAGAAATATAAAGAACGGGAACCACCCTATTATCATAAATTCTTGTCTCGGCAAATGCGAACATGCTTGAACCGTCAATATACTAGTATCTTTGAATAGATTGCGAATATTCTTATTCAGAATACAACCTGCAATATTCATACGCGTTTGCGCGCGACTGTTTCTAGTATTATCATTGTCGACGTCTTCTAACAATAAGCACGTTTCTTCAAGTACATGCACGAAAAACAGCCGTACTGTGCAAATTAATTCAAACACAATAGAATTTATTTGTCGACCTCCCTTTAACGTATAGCAATTGTGAGATGTATATCGTCAAACATTGTTAGATTCTCACTCCGTTGATAGTTTCGGTAGTTTCGATGCAAATAATCCTGTCCCAATTACTTAAAGTGCATCTTGTGCGACTTGGAAATTCCGTGCATCCGCCCGTGATTTTGACAGATTGCGCATATCGCGCGATGTATATATATATATATATATATAAAAGCTCTTTTATATATATATAAGCTCTTTTATATTTTCCTTTTAATAAAATACACGTCTTAATAAAATGTTAAAAGGCTCTGAAAATAACATCGGATTTATTTTCGAAAATCTGCTAGAAAATCCTATTTTTGATGCGTCGCTTTTTTATGTTATACAATTTTGCGAAAGTAGATGTTATGCGAGGTGCTATATCTATACAAATCCTGTCCAATTGTAACTAGAATAATCCGCTTACTCGTGTATATCTGACGGATAAAAAAGAGAGAGAGAGAGAGAGAGAGAGGCAGTGAAATAAATAATCCGCCCGGTAACTTTGAAGGGAAATTTTACCTTCGCTCTCGCTCGAGACAAGCAGAGATGAACTTTAATGCACGCCTGCTTATACGCACCGTTATATCGTACCTGTTTGAATTCCTTGCGAAAGTTGTCGTTAAGCCAGGCGTAGAGGAATGGATTGTAGCAGGTGCTGCTCATGGCGAGACAGTGCGACATGAAGAAGCAGAGCTTGTAGTAGGACCACTCGTTGGCTTGCGAGTAGAAATCATCGACGACGTTGACGATGTTGAGTGGCAGCCAGGACACGCCGAATATCGTGACCATGGCGATCAGCATCCGGTTGGTGCGGCGCTTCCTCTCGCGATCCGCTTCCTCGCGCTTGCTCGTCTTGCTACCGGGCTTGGCGCGCGCCCGATCATTTAGCCTGATCGACACGCACACGTAGCAGAAGGCGATGACGAAGAACGGCATGACGAACTGCACTATCGAGGTGAGCGAGCTGAAGGCCTTGCGAAATGGCTCGCTGGGCCAGTGCTCCTCGCAATAGGTAATGTTATAAGGTTCCTCCAGCTGCATATACAGCATGTACGGTAAGGTCACTACCAGCGCAATCACCCAAATACTCACGATGATGGCCAGGCATATCTCGATCTTCATGCGCGGATGAAACGGATAGATGATCACCAGGAACCGATCGACCGCTATGCTGGTCAATGTAAGCGTACTGATGTACACGCTGACACCTTGGGCGTAGGGCACCAGATGGCAAAGGGTTTCACCGAAAACCCAACCGCCCAGGAAGGTGTACAGCGGAGTGAAGGGCACGGCCAGCACGCACAATAGCACATCGCTGAGTGCGAGATTCGCGATAAAGAGGTTAGTGACCGTGTGCATCTGGCGATTTCGTCCGACGACGAAGACCACCAGCACGTTGCCGAAAATACCCAGCACGAAGATGATGATGTAGAACGCGCAGAATACTATCTGCACCGTCACGCTCGACGTGATAACGTCCTCCGGATAGCTGTAATTGCACGCCGATGAATTTTGCATTGCCAATACAACCGACGATTCCGACGTTATTTGCGTCATTTCTGTGTTGTTAACCATAGTGCATCCTGAAGAAGAGTACCGATCGCAATCAATACGCGCCTCTTTTACTTCCTCCTTATTCTCTTCTCTCTCGTCGTTATCTCGAATCGATCATGCGTTATATCAATAGCACCAGCGTGGATGGGACCATTTTCCAGGACAACGAGGGGAAGTCCCGTTCTCCGATAATGCGATTCGGCGAGCCGGGAGGTTAAGCGGAAGAGTGCGTCCTGACAAAGTCGAGTAAAGTAATCGCGATCGGCGGCATCATCGATCCTCGAAGATGTGAAATAATTTCTCATGAAGCTCGTTCATTTACGTCGATGTCGCTGGATTGCGCGCGACAAGGTTTTGATAGATAAGCGAGTTATGGCCCGAGAGATAAGCAGATTAGCTTGAATTTCGCGTCGCGGTTATCCCTCGCCGGGGCTAAATGACTTCGCATCGATTATTCTCAGACACGTATGCGAACGCGTTGCACCTATCGTCCGATGTTCGCTTAAATAATCCTTTAAGTGCATTCGATTTTGTTAACAATTTAGCAAGACAGCTCGATGAAAAACATTATGTTTTCGTTGTACGATCATAATTCTTGCATTCAGTTCTCTTTCTATCGTGACATTGAATCTCAAAGAAATCCATTTTTTCCACTTTTTCACTTTTTTTTAAATCGAGATTGTTAATGATCTCATTGCATTTTTTATTTAAATATCAATATGATCATCTCAGTAAAGTTCGTGTGAAAATGGGAAGCGTCGTAAATTATGACAAAAGATTCTTATTAGAGGTAACACCGATTTCTTCTCCTTGTCCATTAATTTGCAAGGTGGCAGTGAGTAAATGTTGAAGATTTATGAATAGACGAGCAATGATATTATCAAAGATATTTATATCAAAGGGCTCGTTCCCAGGACATCGATGTATGCTCACTCTTATTTCTGAATTATAGCACACAATCAATTTGTTCTGTTCTTTGGCAGCAATATATTTTAGAAACGTGTTCGATCGTCTCGTCGATAGAATCATTTGTGTATGTCAAGAATTTAATTACATTTATTTTCTACACTATATAAATATTATAATATGCTTGTTGATATTACTAACAGCAACACAGTCTCGATTTCGCCGGTTCCTTTGATGTTTATTCGGTGAGAAATGGCGACAGTTAGGCAATTAACATGTCGCGACGAAACTTTCGCTTCTGGGGGGAACGACGGTCATTCCTCTCGCTGAAACAGAACACGAGAGAGCAATTAAGAGCGCCGATTATGACCCGTTTGGCGAATGCTCGTGGGCAAAACTGTCGGCAAACTTTGGCGGTGTCGTCGTCGAGCTGTCAAACGAACACTCGAAAAGTTTCAAAACGCACTATAGCCACGTCGCGTTTCACGGATGTCGAAAGTAAGACGAACGAGTTATTTTAAAAAGCTCGATGGAATCGGACGTTCCTCATCAAGGTCGCCTTGTTATTTAAAGTCCGAATGGGTTTCTAAAGCTCGTCTTTCTCGTTTCTTTTTTTTTTTCCTTTCTTTTAGTGTCGAGTAATAATTTTATTCTAGGAACGATGCGACGAATTTGCCGACGGAATTTCTAACTTGCGGCCGACTTTTGCTTTTACTCGCGCGTGAATTTATTTATGTACGGCCGGAAGTTTGTAAATTACACAGGGCGGAAATAGTTTTCCACTCGTGGACGCACGATGCGTAATCGGAGATTAATGGAAGCGCGTTGCAAACGTACACAGTTTGTTGATAGAGCGATGCGTTACGGCGATCGCGAATATTAATGAATTTGTTGCGGTTACAGAGTATCGAGAAACAATTATGGCAAGTTTCCGGAATAACCGCGGAACGTTTGTTAAAGTGTCCACTTTCCGATACGAATTATCGGGTGATTGATTTAGCGTAATGAATTGATTATGTCGAATTTTAATATTATACCGTGTATTATTTTGATAAGAAAATAAGAACGATAGATGACGTTTTTTAAGAACAAAATTAAATATGTTACGTAAGGTTCCCTTTCAATTTTCTCAAAAACAACCGATGCAAGTATAATTTTGCATTTCTATATACATGTAAGCATCTTTACCTTTTTTAACAATCAAATAATCCTATCTTATTTGTCAGTCAATATTAACACTCTCTGCTGCATTATAAATTTCTCACAACCAACTTAATAATGATTAAATATAAAAATATAGAGAAATTACATATTTTGTATACATCATAATCTATAGTTTTACTTTTTAATCATTTACCAATAATCTAAAATAATCAAATGAATCCACACAATATTTTTTTGTAACCATTAAAAGAAAAGAGATTTCCAGAAGGAGAGATTGGAGAAAATTTAAAGCGGTTTCTTCTTTTTTTCTTTTGATAATAGCAAACTTTAACATCTAAACATTCTGCTCATGAAATACACGGGAATATTAGAGAATTTTCGATCAACATAAAAAAAGGAATAAAGGTGTGCATCCTGCACTGTGAAAAGTGATCACACACACACATCACGCACACATATATATATGCGAGATCGATTTCGGCCACCTGTTGAAGAGTCCGGACGAACCGTGGCAATTTCTTCCGTCACGATGAGGTTGACGGTGGTCTCGTTATCACTAAGTTTCTCGTCGGAACGAATCTCTTGGAATATAGCGGCGTCGCGACGCTTTGCGCGCGCGATGACGCGAGATATTAGATATTAGGCCGATATAACTACTGGAGCTCACGCATCCTCGAGGGATTCGCGAAACGAAGAAATAGCACGCACACGAAAAAAAAATGATAATGACGGAGAAAGAAATATATATATATATAGTCACACATATGATACACGCACAAAAATGGATTATCTATATGCAATTATCTGTCTTCTAATTTATCACGGTTCTTTTTACGATTTCTTATTTTATTTTTATTGACTCTTTTTATAATGACATATATACACTTATATAGGGCGTCTGTTATGCGTGCATATATACGTGTACGCTTTGACACTCGTCTAGTCAGATGCACCTTCTCTCGCGATCACGCGCTCTGTCTTTTTTTTATTTTAACTTTGATATTGATTCATTTGATCATTTTTTTCGCGTTTTCCAAATATCGTGATACACGTGTTCGTCACGCTCGATTTATTTCGTGGGATGTTAAATATACCGCCGAATCTCGCGATTTCTGGAAGGATGCCGAGACCACGATCGCCAGGCAACGATATTCTCATCTCGAATACGTGGTGACGCGCGACGATCATCTCGGAGCGTCGCGACGCCAGCGGTTCGCGCGCTGCTTCCCTATCGGCGACTGAGAGGCGTGAAAATCGGAAGCGCACCGGCTTCGTGAGAGCAGTTCGCCCCGACGCGGTTTTTCCGCGCAGGCGTGCGCGTGGGTGCATGATCGCTTTTTACACGATATTATGTGATAATATCTAATAATATCGAGATATATCGATGCTTGACTTAAAATTAAACAAGTCAGACTTTTTGTAAAATTCCAGAGCGATACATCGATATATTTTTCTCTCGTAATTTTGGAAAATCGTCCTCATTTCTTTCTTTAGTTAAAAAATGTTTAAGAGGTACATGTACATATATGTGCCAATTGAGTAGTATTTTCTTAAATAATAATTTTTATTTACTTTGATATACTTTTTTATTTTCCTCTTTTATAAGCTACTTTATTTCTCTTTTATAAGCTATTTTAATCTTTTTATTCAAAAATTTTATAGATTTTATCTTTTTCTCTTTCTCAAATTATTTATTCAAAAATAAACTTTTTCGCTGAATATATCTTTTTCTCTATTTTATTGAAACTAGATTTAAAATTTCAATTTCGACAAAAGATTTTTTTGTATGATAATATGGTAATAAGAATAATTTTCAGAACTGCATCTAGATTTTTCAGCCTGATATATCATATAGTAAATAGCAACATAAAGTGAATATAACGACAGCTATCAAAATTATTGACAGTTTTGATAGCTGCCGTTATATTTACCTTACATTGCTATGTATGATATATGTGGCTGTGTAATAGTAAAATTACTGCTATATATTTTACATTTTACATGCTTGCTTTATAGATCAAGATATTTTCATAGTAAGTCATTTATATGCAATCTAATCTGATAGACATAGAGTAATGGAAGAGTTTTAGTAAGACACGTAATATTTCTAAGACATATCTCTCTGATAATGGGTTATAAAAAGAAATTGTCATTCTCAAAAATTTTAGAGATTAAATTCGCAGAAATTTAATAAGAAACCGGCATGTGACAGAATCATTTGAATAAGATGTGAATTCTAAAAATATAAAAAATGTTAGAGCTGGTAATTATAGTTAAAACAGCGGACAAAAATGATTTTTATACGTATCATAAGAATTTCCATAACCATCTACTACTCATATTATTTATCTATTGTTATCATTATCACATACAAACTATCGCATAATATATATATATATATATAATAGATTGTACAATATAAAAATATCGCTCTTACATCCCGTAATTGAGATGACAAAAAACGATACAAAAGTAAAAACTCTGTATAAGCTACAACTCCATTAACAGTTAATGGACCACTAATTAGATACTCCATTCTTCATGAGCGTTTTACAGTATAACATAAAAACTTGAAATGTATCTTTTTTTGTATATTCTCTTTCCAGTCATTGTATGTCTCAATTTATTAATTTTAATAAACTGCTATCTGAAAGAAATGAGTTACAATTTTCATCCAACCATTGCTATATAAAACTGCTATATATTTCGCAATCCTTCTCTGCTTGAAGCACGTGGCATCGAGAACTATGTCAAGGCAATGGTCAAAAATACTTGAAATTCTCGCGGGAGTATTCTCCAGAATCTAATAAAGTTAAAATGAATATATCCTTCGCCAAGATCCGCACGCGTTCGGTTTCGCGGACAGGGAAGAGGGCGAATTCGCATCCGTTTGCATCTTATTGCGGAAAAATTCTTTGACTCGATTATGTTCTTCCCAGATGGTGCGTGGATTCCTGGCGCGCGGTATGCGAAAAATTTCACATTTGTTCGGAACGATAGAAATACGAGTGTTGCATGAACGCTCCCATTTAAAACGAAAGAACGTTGGTCGGCATGTTGCGAGTAAAAGATGGCGAAATTATACGCCCACGAATCCTTCCGTTTCGTTGCTTCGCAATCGCATCGATAGTCGGAAATTCGTAACATTACCATTACGATAACCGATGCAATACCGGGTGAGCATAAAGCTTCGCTTTGGTCGAAAACTCGCAAATCACCCGGTAGAGCGCAGCATGTGACGAAGTGATAAAACGTGTACTTTACACTTGCTATTATTGTGCTAATTGCTCGGAATTTGCGTAGCATAAGAGTCAATGATTAATCATAGATAAAATATATTTTTACAGACGCAGAGAATATAAATCCATATCTTATTTTTCTTAATACAAATAATATAGTGTAGCAAAAAGATTTTAATATAATAATTATTGATTGAGATAAATATATATGTATATTCTTATAAAAATTGTGATATATAGACGTGTATATTACAAAAATATTATATATATATAAAAATATATATATATATAAAAAATATATATATATATATATATATATATATATATATATATATATATATAACATAATATAATTATACTACCTATATATATACATATATTTTTAATTGATATACACTATAGAAAAAAGTAAATACTTATTCACATTTTTTTAAAGACAAAGGCATGGATCTTTTTTATCTTTTTGCTCTGTAAAATGTATACATATATGTAAAAACTGGTTGGAAATTTATATTTCATGTCTTTCATCATAGAAGAAATGGGATTAAATAGATTTCGTGGAAAAATAAGGGATTTGAATGTTCCCATAAAAGCACTATTATAAAATACAGTAATTTATTAATAATTAGTCCTTTATCATCAGCGTACTCATCATGATAAATTAAAACTTGCAGATATTTCATCTTCCTCGCTATACACACTACACATTTTGTCACATTTTGTCTCGCAGCTTATAATATACAGGTCTCGGTTTTATCTTCTATTTTGTTTATATATACATATATAT